ATCAACCATAGTGGCAGAGAAGGGATTCAGGGTTGCATGAGTTTCTTGGTTCAGATTGTCTACCCATATCTTGAGAGGATTTTGTGTTAGCTTTCATGAAAGCTGGCTCTCTAAATATATATGATTATCAGACAAAGATAGGCAGTTTTTTATGAATGAATAGACTACACTTCAAGGAATTTACAGCTTAAGTTACTTAAGGTAAAGAGTAGCCTAAAGCAATGGTTTTTTTTAAAACCTTTTACCATGCTGGAGATTTCTGGGAATTGAACGCCACTTAAAGTTGCTGCAGTTGAGAAACATTGGCCTAAAGCAATCAGACCAAGGTCCTACCTAAAGCTCATGATATATCTCTGTTGTATGTACTTCTTCACTGCCATTTATACATTGCTATAAGTTCTAGAGATTTCTCTTAGCGGTTCTGGTTAATAGCCAGAGATGAGCCTAGCATCCTAAGCAGCTGGCACGAATCACACTGTGTTGTAGCAATGGATTTTGTAATAAGTTAATCATGGTATGTAATAAAATGCTTCTCTTTTATTGGACCAGAATGTAACATTAATTGAGATTAGATGATACTAAGTTGTACTATAGCAGTAGTGTGTTACACAGTAAAAATGCATAAATCCAATTCTTCTATTGCATAAAATTATAATTTAATTCTAGAATAAATCACATGATTTAAGCAAAATAATCAAATGGGGCAAACTGCTTTGTCTCATTTATTCATGTTGTTTTAAAGGTAGAAATATTATGAACCAGAATATCAATTATTTGTTAAATAGAAGGCATCCCAAGGGTGAAAATAGATGTACCATTCTGCAACATGCAGAAATATGTACTATTGAATACAGATTTCATTTTATAAGAATTTCAACTTCCATTAAAAAGAAGGAAGGCAGTTTCTGATTATTATGCATAACCAGATGAGAATTATTTCTTAAGACACTGGAGGTTGAATGCTATTTCTATAGTTGACAGTAGGGTTTCAGTCCTTTTTATTACAAAATTCCACCTCACTCCATCGCTAGCAAAATAAAAATATATTTATTCATGTGTGTAAGTGCGCGTGCTTGTATGCACACAAACACAAAGAACAAATGCATGTATAAGTCCCAGATAATGCATTTTCCTTGTGCAGAGCTTGGCTTTTCAGAGTCTCCCATTTCTTGACCTAGATCTGAGGTTTCCTATCAGCTCTGTATAAGAAATAGTGAGATTACAGTTTTGTGTTGTGGAAGGATTGGTATGTGCATTTTGATAGCTAGTGAAAAATATGCCACTGTTGGCAAAATATTCCAGGTCATCTCTGAATTTTTAATTATCTTTCTTTGGATAAGGAAGCTTGGACATTTAAAAAATACTTTACAGAAAAGTCTGCCTCCATTGAAAACCTTTTTTCTATCTTTTTTATTAGGTAGGTCCCAAATAAAATGTCAAAATGTTACTCTGTGTGAATATCATCAGTTTGTTTCAGCCCATCATCTTTAAGGATTCTAAGATTGTTCTTTGCTTAATGTGGTTAAGAGTTCTGTCCTGATTGGTAATGATTAGTGGTGAGATTCAAATTATTTACTACCAGTTCTGTGGGTGTGGCTTTGTGGGTGTGGCATGGTGTGGCTTTGTGGGTGTGGCAGGGGAAAGATATTGCAAAATCCCCATTCCCTCCCCACTCATGGGGGAAGGTTACTGCAAAATCCCCATTCCCTCCCCACCTCACTAACTTGCTTTCCAGCTCCATTCTCCTGTTCAAGGCAACAAAAGAAGATCAGTTGGGAGGCAGCTGGGGCGTGGCCAGCCTATTTGCCGGTTCTCCAAACTACTCAAAATTTCCTCTACTTGTTCTCCAGAACCTGTCAGAACTGGCTGAATACCACCTCTGGCTTAGAGGAGTATGTGCATATTTGAAAGGACAATAGAAGGATGCATAATGGACTACAGAAGGATGGATGTAAAGATAAACAGGAGCTTTTGTTGAGGGTGGTGGGTTGGCCTTTTAACTGCACTATTGCACTGCAACTTTCAGTGGTCTGTCTGGAAAAGGGGATAGCTTAAAAAAATAAGTGTTTACAACTAGAACAAAACCTATACTTGATTTAATGGAGATTTACATTAACTAAAATTGAACAGTATCTATTTAATCATTTCTTACTTGTATATGTTCCCCTTTGGGAGCTCAAAAGGGGACACACACACACACACACTCTTTAGTACTTGAGCAATCTTATGCAGTAAGTTGAGCTGAGAGAGTTGCTGTTCTCAAAGGCAGCTGCCATGACTGGGGATAGTGCAGAAGCTGTTCTAGATCTCATCATGAATTCAAGATTATTAATGAATAGTTTGTATACAGTGAAACCAATATACAAGAAAACCACTTCTTGTATAAACATTTACATTGACGGCAATAACCATTCTCCTTGTTGAGCAGTTATTTCTGCCCCCTCTACCCTGCTTGCTCGGAGATGTTCCTCTTTAGCTGGAATGAAACTATATGATGTGACACCAGGAAACATTGCGTCAGACTTGATGACTGCTTCTTGTCAACTAGTTCTTTTTTCTTTTAAAAAAGGAACTTGGGTTTCCCTGGGAAAATACGTTCTCTCTCTCTCATTCTGTGTGTGTGTGTGTGTGTGTGTGTGTGTGTGTGTGTGTGTATGTGTTAGGCATCTGTAACACAAATTGTGAATCTATTTCTGTGATATGCTTTGTCATGTTGTAGGCAGGTGGAAATTCAGAGCTAAGTAATTTGTAAATCACGTGATTGATTTGGCCTATATTAAGAAAAATAGTGTTTCCAAGATAAACACAGTTCAGTGGCCTATGGAACTCTTTGCCACAAAAAGCTGAGGTAGTCACTCGCATTTTAATTCAAGAACTAATCACCCAGGAACTTGAGATTGCACTTCAAATCTCTTCCCAGTTCTCTGCCTGGGGTTGGCAGTGATGGAGTTTGATTTTAACTCCTAATAATAATCTTTTCAATATTGAGAAATATTTTTATGGCAGAGTGAGAGAATAGGTCATTTGGCTGCCTCAGTAATCATCGTAAGCAGAAGATTTGTGTGGATAGTGGATGAGAATAAAGGATTAGAGAAGGTGAGCATTTTTAAGGAGAAAAACTGAACTGGATATGAATATGTATATGTCTCAATATTGCCAATGCAGTACTGGACTATTTTTTCCCATCTTTGAATGGATTATAACTGCTGTTCTATCTTTAATGCCACATTTTCTGTTAGGTTTCCAATTCCTTCATACAAAATCATGATATTTTAAATACAAAAGCAATAATAAAGAAGTGCATTTGAATAATTTTTGGTGGAATCATTCTCCCAAGAAACCAAGTGGCTGAGTTCATGCTTTTAACCATAGTTTGTAGAACAAACTAGAGTGGTTTGGATCACACATAGTAAGCAATAAGTAGTGGCTCATAAACCACATTAATTAGTTTTACATAATGTGCTGAGCCAAACTCAAATTAATGGCAACTTAAAGCATCTGTATTAACTTGTTCTCCTTGTCCTGGTTGATTTCCCCCTCCCCTTACATTTGCTTTTTATTTTTATATTGTATGTATGTATGTGTGCGTGTATGAGATGCAAGAAAGGAATTTTGTAAAATTGTGTTTAAAAAGGGGATTATCTGGATTTTTTTTAGTCACGTGTCAGGCCTGAGCATTTAACTGGACCACACTGATCTTGTAGATAATTGTGAATTGAGATGAGAGAGTTTAATACTCTTGATCCTCTTGGACCAAGTGGAGTTACATGGAGGAGTTCATTTATAGATATAAGGTCAGGTATCATTAGTATGCTGATGACAGCCAGTTGTATATCTTGACACAGGGCCAATAAGGAGATGAGATAGAGGTTCTGTCCTGGTATCTGGAGGCTGCTAGGATCTGGAATAAGCAGTGTGGAATGTTGGTGAGTTAAGAAGGCAGTCAGTTCCAGTAATTTTCCATCTTTCTTCCTATATAGAGCTTTGCACTGCAGGTACATAGTTGACTAATAGTCTGGAGGTCTTCTTCTGGAGGATAAGATAGTGGTTGTGGCCCAGTCAGGCCTTTACACAGTTTCCTCTGTGGTGCCAGTTATGGCTATTTTTGTACCAAGAGGCTCTGCTCAGGGTTTAGATTTTAATAATGCACTATACGTGGTGCTTCCTTAAAGACCAAGTAAAAGCCTAAAAGCTATAAGTGGAATCAGTTTTGGAGAAACTGCTACTTTGAGAGCTGCATTGACTGCCAGGTAACTTTTGGATGCAATTCAATAATAGTCACCTTTAAAGTTCTACATGGCTGAAGACTTGTATCTTAGAAACCATTTATTCCCAGTGCCATCTGCTCATCAAGCAAAATCTGGAGGAGGGGACTTCCTCTGGGACCCAGCCATTTGGGAATACGTCATTGGGGCAGGTGTTCTGTGTTGCAACTCCCTTTCTCTGGAACAGTGTACCTCCAGAGATCAAAACAACTTTAATGCTGCTAAGATTTCATAGGACTATCAAGACCTAGCTCTTCCAGAGAGCTTTTGGGGATGATATGAACTTGGTCCTTACTGGGGAAGAGTCTGTATCTGATGGCTTTTCAGGTGTTATTTTGTGTGTGTGTGTTCTGGAATATTTGTTGCAATTTGTATACTGTATCTTAGTTGTAATACTTTCAGAGTTGCTTAATTGAGGCAGCATGTAAGTATAAGTACACAAATGAAGTTGTGAAAGTTGTTTGTCTTCTGTGACTTGCTTATGAGATTTCGTCAGAATACTAGAAGAAAGGGTTTCATTGCTTTATCATTTCTGTAGTAACTAATGTGACTGAAATGGCAGCTAAACAATCATCTGTAATCTTAACACATTTCTCTTAAAAAAAAGAACACAGGAAAAAATATTTTATATAGGAATATTTGGCCTGCAAAAATCAGGATGTCCTCTCAATGGCAGCAAAGAATTACAGAAAATTCTACTACTTTCCTGCCATATTAATCATCTAAATTTTGCAGTTTAGCTACACTATGGACTCCAGAATTTGCTGCCATCAATTCTTCCGGATACATTGGTTGAGCCACAGATTATCCATCAATGCTTTCTAAAGGTTAGAATTTTGCAATTCTAATATTTTTGACTGTTGATGAAAAATTGTGGGGTTTTTTTGTAGAATGCCTTATATGTGGATTTAACAGAATCAATATACCTTGGCTTTATTTTGCTTTGTGGTAGGGCATTCTTCCCAACTGCCATAGTTTCCAGTTTTAAAAATCATCTTTAGGGGGATTTTAGAAGAGTGCTAGGCAATCCTCATGATATTTGGATAAAGAACGTTGGTAGGACTGGCTTTTTTAAAAAAACTTTCTTGGTTTCTTTTGCTTTGAGAGTCATATATCATTGCTCTCTTAAGTAATGAAGATATTTGAGTATACTCTGCCTTCCCTTTCCATATATGATAGTAGTTGCATGCTCGCATGGGAATATGGCAGGTTGGTTAAAAATCTTGTGTCCAGCAGGGCAAAACCAGAACACAGAAGCCCAAACATGTATCTTATTTGTCACTGTTTTCTGCTTTAGGGAATGTGAATTGACCATCCTAACACAACTTGCCACGGATCTCTGAAGCGCTTTTCCTCTTGTCCTCCCTCCTGTCACCTGATCAGTTTGATCTTTAGATAGGATGGAACAGTCCTCATGCGCCTGGGGAAGAAAATGTAAAACAAGTTTTGCACAGAATAAAGAATTCAAGTTGAGGAACTCTGGGAGGGCTTGTGCATTATAATGTTTAGTGTAAGTAGCCTGAAGGGCTGTGCAAAAGCATTTGAAAGAGTCAGAAATGTGTGTGGAAGCAAGAATGAAGCACCTCTCTTTGAATTGTTAAGAGACCCATACCTTTTGGAAAGCTGCTTCACACTTGGATTCAAAGAGAGGTGCTTTGTTTGCACGCCCACATGTTGCGAAGCGCTTCTTTCAAATGTTTGCACAGCTGTAGTGGCCACTTCAATAGAAATAAACCCAGCTGTCATTACGAGCCTGATTTGGAGAAATTGGTTATGTGGCCCAAAGAGTGACAGATTCTCCAAAAAGAGAACTATGATGTTTTGCCCAAACACCACATTGGTACGGTATCTGTTGACTTCCAAACATTTTGGGGAATTGATTTTTGTAGAAAGACAAGTATTTGATTTCGAAGGACATGTATTTGCTGTGATCTTTCTTATCTATTTTTTAAACAAATTTGTATCCTGCCTAACTCCCATGACTCTGGTGCCCAACACATTTGATTGAAAAATAAGAATGGCCACAGTCAATCTGGGCACTTGGGAATTTTAAACTTTTCTTTAGAATTTCAGGGAAAGGGGTAGAAGCTGCACATTATATATAACCTCTTTTTGGAAAACTCCAAAGGTGGCCAAAATGTGGCATTGCAAAATGGAATTGTTTTTTTTTAAAAAAAAAAGATAAGTCTTCAATTACTTGTACAAAATATGAAAATAAAAAATTGACTAATGATTAAAAGATTACCTGGCCCTTTTATAAAGGATTTATTGCACACACAGCATTTGTATCTAAGTTTTGGTTTGGGAAAAATTCCAAATATACATTAGACAAATGCTGTTATTAATTTCCAGTTCCATGAGTTGAACCTTTAGGCTTTCAGCTGCTTCCATTGGGTTGCCAGTGGTGGAATGACCACTAAGCAGAATAATTGGCTGAGATATTTGCTTTGTCAAATAACAGCCATAGATAAATAATAGCAACTCTAGCAAAACGGAATGACAATAAAACATGAAAAATTATACTGACTTGATGAAAATGCGATATGTCTATCTATCCCCCCCTCGCCCCCAAACAGGAGAGCGCTGTAACTAGTGAGTAATATAGTATCACCAGCAAATAAGTATATCTCTGATAGAGAGCAACAGATCTATTGGTGATAACTACAAGTAGAAATTAGTACAGAAGTTTGGACTTGGTGTAGAAACATATACAGTAATAGAGATAAAATATATTCATATAGTAGTGTGACAGTGGCATGAACATATACCAGGTAAGGTTCAAGTTTAAAAAAAGTTTAAATATAGTTTGGTTTTATGGTTCTGGATGTCAAAAATATTCCATCTCTATATGCAAGTACAGTAATTTATTGTAATTAATGTTTTTTTCCCTTTCTGTTTATGTGTTTCAAAATTTTTGAGACTGCCTGTGCAAGTCCTTGCAGGGACTTGAACACTGTTTTTTGCTTTCTAGTTTTATAGCCTTACCCACTATACCTAATTGCTCTCTAATAATAATTAATAAATGAATGCTTACTCCAAATTGTATTTGAGTGTGTGTGTTAGGTGGTCCTTTCTGGTTTAGTGATATTGAAATAACTTTGCATCCTATGTCTTTGGTGAGGAAAGTTCCTGGTTTCTGTAAATTGACTTCTGTTGCTTATGAAATTGTGTGGACGAAGGAAAACAGACTTCTTAAAATTTCCCCATTTTAATTCTGCCTGGGGTACTTTCTTTACTTTTTATCTTTCCAGTGCACTTTTCCCTTCATTAGCTTGCTTGCAAACAGTATCCCGAGTCTTCCAATCTGGAGTAGTTTCAATAGAGTTAAAAACTTTAAACCTACAGTAATGATATTTGGGGTTGGGTCATGTGTATTTATCCACCCAGCTGGATTTTTCTCTGTTCCTTTGAAATCTTTTCTTCTTGCCTCTCGTAAGGAGTGAGATGTCTCTATTTGCAGTGCTTCGCTTGACTGGATCCAAATAGCGCTTTGAAATGGGGTAGTGAACAAGCAAGGTTCTCCTTTGAACGATCAGGCTGGAGTTTCTGGATAAGGGAGTGATGAACTGAATCAGAGTTCTGCAGTTCAGTGGAGACCTTATACTGCCTGCTTAAGAAATGTGCCAGTGATGTTACATTGGGAATGAATGAGCTGCCATTCTTAGGATGCCAGATTAGTGTGGAAAATCATTGATGGATGTAGAATTAAAGCACCTGAAAAAGGACTTTGGTTAAGAGAAAGAAAAATATGGCAGCAAGTTGTTAAGGAGGGCAATGTGTACTTGAAAGTGAATTGGGGAAAACCCAGCAAAAGCTCAAAAGTGGATGGGGAAAGGAGGGGAATTTTCACTGGTCAGGTGGCAGGATTTCATTGAATTCCCTTGTCTTTCAAATATTGTCATAGTTAGCAGAAACAGAATGACTTTGTAGAACAGAACATGCATTGTATAGTAATGTATGTGAAACTTTTTACAATGTAGTATATGGAAATTGCAGTTTTTCTGGAGTTGTTTTGAGATGACACACTTATGTGCAGCCCTAGCTTTGTATGCGCTAATGCCCTGCTTTGTTGTCATGGTCACATCACAAGACTAATATGTGTGTTAGACTGAGTCTTGTGTGGCAACTATTTCCCCTTTGCAAATGTTGTATTTTGAAATATTTGCATCAAAAGGCCTTGATGCAGAAAGTCTATAGGTTTAATATCAATAGCAATAGCAGATTTTTATATACCGCTTCATAGGGCTTTCAGCCCTCTCTAAGCGGTTTACAGAGTCAGCATAGGTTTAAAGTCTATACTGTACAGAAGAGAATCTTTTTTCCATTACCCTCCTTATCCCCTCCAGAAAATTTTCAAATTGTTAAATTATCATGGATTTTGGTCATGGATTTTGGTCATGGATTTTGGTCATGGATGAGCTCTTCCACTGAAAACTTTTTAGAAACTATATAGGTGGAAGAGTTCCCAGAATTCATAGGCAGCACGTGGCCTTTGATGGTGAAGACTGCTCTAGAAGGCAGTTCGTTCTTTTTGATCCATAGTCCAAAACTCCAGATGGTGTAGTGTTTCCTCTCCTTGTCGTTACATACAGGTGATATACCTACCTCCTGCTATTATAGTCTATTATCCTTGCCCGTCCCACAGTAGGAAATATCTTTGTGTATTTCTAACATGCTGTCATCAGAGTAATGACGTGTAAACCTCTCCCAGTTTTTGATTTAGATTCAAATTTTTAAAATGTATTTACCCACAGAGCAATTCTGCTTTGGGTTGCTGAATAAATGGGAAGGCTGTTCATTTTAAACATTGGACAGCATGGGGCAGATAGAGTCCCAGATTCTGGGGCTAAAAAGGCAATGCCATGCCTACACTGTGAATCTCCGGCAGACCATGACCTTTGTTGGTTTGGTTTTGATGGTGGATGAGCCCAGTTGGTGTGATTTGAAAACCATGGCTTATGTTTTATCCTTAGTGTGTTGAAAGAGCCCATCTGATTGTGACTCATTAAGCATGGCTTAGAGTGACACATGGCCAAGCCATGCTGTGAAATTAATGACCCACTTCCATGGTATGAGCCCATGTTTTTGAAACATATATATTGATGTGGGGTGTCCCTCCCTCACATGATCCCAGTGGAAAGCCCAAAAATCTAAATATGAACTTTTTTTCCCTCTTGCCTTTGCCGTTACTTTTTTATTATTAATTCAGGAGCAGGAGTTGGAGAGGATATTCCAGTATGTTTTTCTTTCACCAGAGAGGTCAAGGAAAACGAGAACAGGAGAGGGAGCAATGCTGTCAGCTTTGCTTCTGCTCCCACGCTGCCTTGCCCCACAGATCTTGACAAGTAGTAAAAGGGACAGACAGCAGGCATCCGGACTGGTCCTGAAGTTGGCATTTCAAAATGTTTATATCTCTGTGGGTGGCAATATTTGCAGAGGGAAAAGGAGAAAGCAGACATTAAGGATTCCCATAATCAAAAGACACGCCATCACAGCATCAGATCACCTATATAACTCTCATGTGGTCCCTAGTGCTGGTACTATGAACCTTTATCCTTCTGCGTTCCATCTCTTGGGGTATCTATTTATAACCGTGAAGCTGCTTATGTTGCCATGTCCGCTGTTTTCTGCCCAGACTGCGCCGCTGCGGACTGGTTCTCTGCCTGCCTTGTCTCTTCCAGACTCTTCTCCTCTCTACCCCCCTCCACAATATGGATTGGAAATAGTTTATTCCCGGATTTGAGCTAGAGAAATGATACTTCTAGCCTTTGTGTCCCTCCCCTTCAGCAAAGACCTAGAGATGGAAAGGCCAGCAGCTGGGATTTCC